CATGGAATAGCCTTCATTTCTAAGAACAAGAATAGACTGTCGAGTTTCAGATGTAAGTTCTGTTTTTCTGACCATTTTGAGTGTTTAACTGACCCCACAAATGTGATGCTCCAGAAACTCAATCTGGAAATGGGCCTCTATACACCTATGTAGATATTGCACCAAAAACCAGATATTTGCAGCTAGAATAGTCATTTACCACATTAGCAATGTATAGAGTGTTTTTCTTTAAAGTTAAGACTAGTTTTAAGTTATCTTCATTGAAAAGTACAGTGCTTTTCCTTAAAAAATAAGGACATTTCAATGTGACCCCAAACTTTTGAACGGTAGTGTATATATAAATTTAGTCACACAGTAATCCCCCACATAACTGTTTAATAATACTTCATTATAGAAATAAACATTTCTTTTCTTTGTGATTTAAATATTTTGAAAGAATATACATTAAAGTCCTATACTCCTGACAAAATTAAAATTAGTGTTAATCTATATCTGCAAGAGTTAGGAAAAACTTTCAGAGCTTTTTTTTTCTCATCATTAACAGCTTCAAAAGAAAGTATTTATTTTTTAGTGTTATTTCTTTTATATACTAAAGGTCTCATAATTCTCAAGTTTTGAGAGGAATGTTTAGAAATGTTCACCAACTTCAGAGAGCGTATACTCGGGTTAACGATTGGTTTACCAAATTAGTTGATTGTTATTTCAAAAACAGATTAAACCAAATTTATCTGATTATTATTTTGGCCTGAGTGGTGCAATATTAAAGGGGGCTGAATGCTGAGTGCCACACTAAAAACGTTTTATGAACGGTTAAAATTCTTTTAAGGTAAGATCTGACCTTACAAGTTTTGCTTGATTTGTACCAAGGTTATTCTCATGAATCAAAAGTAACAAAATGATGAAAACTACAAATAAAAAAGCTTTTCGGTAACTGAGATAAAGTTAAAACTACCCTTGCAAAAAAAAAAAAAAAAAGGTAAACACTAAAACTGTAATAAGAGTTTCTAAAACTAAACCAACAGAGTGTTCATTTGGGTCTACAATATTAATATGAGGTCTAGTTTACAGTTGCATTTTTAAACTTCTTTTCAGTGTACAGCATTACGGCAGCAGATAGCAGGTATGGTTATGGTTATTATTATTGCTGCAGTTATCTTTCCTTATCTGGAATTGTATTTCCATTCCATCTTTAATTTTTTCATTTCAGTCATCCCCAATATGTAAGTTGTATTACATAAAAGACTAAAACTTTAACTGAAACCAATAAAACATGAACTGAGACGAAGAACAAAGCATTAAAAAACATTTACCGGTTAAACTTTTTAACATATTAAAAACGAATAGGGTTAGGGTCAAAATCAGAAGTCAAAACTAAATAAAAATAAAAAGTAATGCAAATTTCAAAACTATTTTTTGTTTCCCATTTTGTGTTTTTTTTTGTATGATTTGGTATAAGCTATCAAACTAAACTAGGTATTTTACACAATGCTTCTTTCCGCTTTTTTAGTCTGAACGATGTTTTAAAATACAGGTTTAGCTTTAAATTGTTTTTTTTTTTAAATTATGTATCTGTTTTAACTTACCACCGAGGTGTTGAGCCCAGACCACCGAGGCCCGTTCAGAGAGCCGCACTTGTTAGTCGGGTCTTTGCAGGCTGGGATCAGGAGCTGCACCTCGTCTGGATCAGTGGCAACCTTCACATCAGACAGGGCCTTGGCCCAGGCAGAGGAGCTGACCAGCCACATGAAAGAAAATACTACTGTCACCACAAAGTCCTAAAAAAACAAACAAAAAAACAGATTAAACAATATTTTCTAAATCATCATGAAAAGTAAATAAAAAAAAATGCTTGGCATTTAGAACAGCAGCTGATATAAGAGGTTAGTAAATATAAGCATACGCACAATGAGAGGTCTTTGACTGTTTTCACGGTACTTATTCAGCAAGAAAACGTAGACAACTGTGGCCACAAGAGAATATAGGAAGGAGAAAACCGCAATGGTGACAAAGAATTCAGCAGAGGAGGAATAATCTCCGACCAGAAACACACGCTCCCTCCTCACTGCCTCACACATGGGGGCTTCAAACGACACCTGGTGCAACCTGGCACACACAAAGGACAATACCATTTTTTTAAACTGCAGCTATCCTGAATCTGAGCTCATAGGTGTGTCTCACTCACCTGAAAGGATAACCAAAGTCAATGCCGATGCTCAGGTTGCTGCTGGCCTTCTCCATGCAGTCCACACTGACCCTCAGCTGTCCCGAGTAGCCACCACATGTTGCAAAAGCAAAAATGGCAAAGAGCTGCAAAGAGAGATTAACATTTAGCAGAAGCCATATTTTAGATGAAAAACAATCAGCTCCAGAAGCCCGCAAAAATATTCTGCATAATTTCTGCATATACCCAGAATAAACCTGATTGTAGCTACTTGTCTTCAGCAGCTAAGTTTATTGAACATCATTGCAGTTTTTTTGCATATCAAATAGAGTACTGATCAATCAATCATTCAAAACTTAAATCACAGACCCCTAGTTCTGGTGGAATCTGTTAGCAGGGTACTATCAGTTTTGTATAAAGCTGTCCTTTATGAACAAGTGATAAGAAAAAACCCCACTACACATCACTTTAAACCCGCTATCCCCAAATAAAAGACGGATTGGAGAGCAGGTATGCATTTGAAAGGGCTATTGATAAAGCCTACAGGAGGCAATAAACTTGGGCAAATTTGTAAATTGACGTTTACAGATTAGTGTTCCTCTATTTTGGATGTTTTTTGATGAGGATTAAGGTTTATGACTGGAGGTGACAGGGGAGCAAATCAATACTGATTTGATCTCCATAAAGGAACTTGTGAACCGCTTCAAACTTGTAAAACTGAGGTAATTGTCACAGAGAAATTAATATGGCTTTCATCAAAGTCAACAAACATAAACGTGCAAACACAGACACACACATTTGCTGCCCTCAGTTTGCTCTTTGCCCACTTGCTCATATAAACCTCCCACTGCCTCAAGAGCTCTCAAAGCTATAATAACCATAATCAGAGCTGATGCCTGGCTAGCATGAACTGCTCCTCGATGTGCAGCTTACCAACAGCTGGCAACCCAATTTATGACTCAGTTCCAACCATTCTCTGCCACTGGAGGGCGCCATGTAGTTAATTATGTCATGAATGCCTTCAGCCTAACAGTCAAAAGCTACATACATAGTCAGCACTATCACTTGTGACCTATCGAGTTGAATATTGCTGAACTGATATTGCAAATGATCCTTTCTGAGTGTACAAGGTCAAAGACTTTTTAGACACCAATGACCAGAGATTAGGAATAACAAACCTGGACAGCACACCTTCAACAAGTGTTGCTGGATCCTGACATTGCTTATATAGACTGATGTTCAAATCTGAGAGTTTCTATGAACAACCTGTGTAGTAAAAGCATCTAAATAAAATCACTCAGAGGTAGACTTGCTCGTGTTCTTCAGATCTTTGTCCTGCATAATCCAAGTGTGCTTGAACTCTATTCCACTATTCGATGACAAGGCATTCTCAGTAGGATTTTTTGGTCAACAGGAAAATTAATGATTTTGTCATCTACAACAAGGTCTCCATTCTGCAGCAAAGCTGCTCAAGAACATGTTGCATGTTGCAAACCTTTCAAAAAGTTCAGCTTTTTCTTAAAGCCAAAGTCTCTTGGTTAATCACATTTGATTCATGATTTAACTGGCAGGGAAATTATACCTTCATCTGTAAACTTATTTTCATATTCACACAAATTTTATTTGTTGCAATTAAAATCTTTTCCCTGAAGATTAAAGTAAACTGCTGTTCTCTATACTCAGTCTATCAAGTATATCTTTATCTAATAAAAAATGAAGCCCCTGTTGCTGTATATCAGGGCTCTATATAGGGCAGAGCATATGTTAAAGTAAGGGTGGAAAAATTATTCAGTATTAATATATATCATAATGTCAGAGATATTTCGTCATACATCACAGTTTGTAATTACAGGATTTGTGACTGATGTTCTGGGTTTTATGTAGTTTTAACAAATGTTTCTAAAGAGTGGGACTTTCCCCCATCCTGTCATGATCCTGGTCCTGATGACTGGAGCATTAGTTTCATTCCTTCCACCTGCTTAGCTCTGTCCAGTTTTCATCTGCCCTCATTTGATCCACCTGTTCCAGTTCTTATTTATACTGCCTGTTTTCCGGCCATCAGTGGCAGAATAATCGAGTTGAGTTTGAGAAATATGAAATATCTAACCTAACCTGTAGTGTTGTTAGGCTGCCTGATCTTGACCTGTTTCTGCTTCTGGATTCCTGAGTTTTGGTTTATCCCTATTCTGGTCTGTTTCTGCCTGTTCCCTGTGTTCAGACTGCTATTTGGACTCAGCCTGTTAGCAACGTTGGTTCTGTTCCCTGACCCTGGCTTGGATTATCCCTTTGGTACCTCCGCAACTCTCAGATCTTCTGTTTTGGACCCCTGCTTCGCTACCTGCTTTGGATTGAGCCTCTGGACTCATCTGCTCTTAAGTGTCTGCTGACTCCCGCTCTAGGGGCTGTTCTGCCTCGCTCTTGGAACTCTCTGGGCAGCTTCCGCCACATATTGAGAAGAAGTAATCTGACTTGTTCCCACTCCTTCCTCTGGACATGGACCGAACTGAGAACCAGGTTAGTGATTGACATTCTAATTAAGCCCAGTCTGAGCCTAGTAATCACTAACCCGAGTGTCTGTCTCTACACAGAATCCAGCAAGCCGGTCCCAGCTAATGAGCCGCTTAGTCTAGAGCTATCTTTAAACAAACCAGCTCTTTCTGCCTGAATTCTGGGTCCATTTGTCTGAGCCTTGACACATCCTAAACAGTGAAATTTTTGCGAACATAGAAGACTATTGCATGACACACGATACACTCATAAAATTGACTCACTGGATTAACTCAGTATAATTGATGACAGTTTTTCCATCCAATACATTTTTGCCAGCTGGGAATGGGCTTTCCAGCTCAAATCCACACTTTAAATTTTTTAAAAGTACTTTGAAAAGGAAATTAATGCATACACCAAATTCGAACATGTTGGGTTGGTTCAACTTAATAAAAATCTAATTCTGTTTACCAATATTTGTCCCTGCATTGGATAAAGTTATGTTCAACTAGCTAACATTTAAATAACCCAATGACAAATTAACTGTTTTTATCAACTTGATTGTATTCAATGTAAGAGCAGAAACACAGTTTTGTTAATAAACACACATGCATCTCACATATTCAAAATAACCTCGACAAGCATAGAGCTACCTGTAATCATGGATCTTGGCAGGTTCATCTGTGTGGACTTGGGCAACAACTAACTCCAGTATCTCTTTTAGATGTAGAATTACCTGCCCTGCTGGCTCTTTCTCTTGCAAAAGTGGTCTGACAATTTAAAGGAAGTAATCTTAGCAAGGACCAGTTTTCATGAGCATCGAAAGGAACCTAAAATTCTTGAGTTTGCTTGAAAGAATGTTCTTGTAGACACAAAAGGCGCCCTTATAGTAACCTCAAGAATCTTAGGTTTATTTGTATTATATATAAAAAGTTAATACATATTTTTATACATCAATTAAATATTGCAAAATATTTCTGGAACCAATTACTTTAGCTTAAACGCTTAAAAGGAATGCTTCAAAGTCTGCGCTCAGCTTCAAACAACAATGTTAAAAACAACAGACGAAGCCAGAAATCTTGGTGTAGTCATGGACTCTGACCTGAATTTTAACAGCCACATTAAGACAATTACAAAGTCAGCCTATTATCACCTTAAGAATATATCAAGGGTTAAAGGACTTATGTGTCAACAGGACTTGGAAAAACTTGTCCATGCTTTCATCTTCAGTAGACTTGACTACTGTAACGGGGTGTTTACAGGTCTCCCTAAAAAATCAATCAGACAGCTGCAGCTGATTCAGAACGCTGCTGCTCGAGTCCTCACTAAAACCAAGAGACTGGATCACATTACTCCAGTTCTGAAGTCCTTACACTGGCTTTCTGTGTCTCAAAGAATTGATTTCAAAGTACTTTTGCTTGTTTATAAATCAATAAACGGTTTAGGGCCAAAATACATTTCTGACCTGCTAGTACACTATGACCCCCCCAGACCTCTAAGGTCATCTGGGACAGGTCTACTTTCTGTTCCTAGGGTCAGAACTAAACAGGAAGCAGCTTTCAGTTTCTATGGTCCTCACATCTGGAATAAACTCCCAGAAACCTGCAGGTCCGCTGCTACTCTCAGTTCTTTTAAATCAATGCTGAAGACCTTTCTTTTTGATGTTGCCTTTCTCTAAATGGCGTTCATTTCTTTACTGTTTAATTTTTTATACTGCACTGTAATTTTTATTCTTGTGTTTTATTCTGTTTTTATTTTTAACCGTTTCTTATGTGTTTTATTTGTTTTTTTTTAAACTGATGTAAAGCACTTTGAATTATCAGATGGTTTAAAAGGGGTGATGAAGGGGTTAAAGATGCCCTCTAGTTTGAAGGAAAAAGCCATCACTGAACAGAGGGCTTAGGATCACGGTTTCAGCTTGAGAGACAGCAATCGCAATTTGTGGCAGCGGAACCTGCCACAGCACTGGCAGAGGTGCAGACGGCCTGCCACTGATTTCCATGTCCTGCCACGTCGCTCAGATAGCTGCGCTGTCTGTTTTGCCACAATGAAGCAGATTGGTGCCAAAAAATTACTCTTGAGGGTACAGTTACATTTTCCAGAGTACATAATATCACAACAGAGAACAAACTGAAACCCTTCAGGCTATGCAGAATTGTGAGTGGGATTACAATGACAACTCTCCAGTCGAACTTTTAACTTCTGTTTTTGAAAAGAAAAATTACTAGGTCAAGTTCTTCTCTGTCATTATCGATGCGCAAAATCTCAAGGTTTTTACAAGATTTGAGGAACAATAACTAGCCTACTCTTCATGGCAGGCTTGTCAATGATAATGCTAACTCAGCCAATGTAACTGCAAGTACTTTCTGTGTCTACTGTGGCATCTTCTGGCATCCTGTGGCATCTTCGTGGCCTAGGAATTCTAATGAGTACCAGCATGAGTTAAGTGATTTTTTTTCTGTAACAACTCACAGTAAGCTCTCACACTGTATAATAGGCCGGCTGTTTGAGCAGGGAGTCTTTGCCATCCTTTTAGCATGTTATATACATACCATGCTATTAGGACATAGTCTGAAGTACAGATTCACTTTATATTTTGTCGAATACTTTTTATTAATTGAAAATGACACCATCAATTGAAAGTACTTATTTATGTACT